ATTAGTGAGAAAATAGAATTGAACATTATTTCAACATCTTTAATAGCCATCATCGAGACATCCTCATGGCTATCTTCCTCTTCCTCAGATTCGTTGGATGCATTTCCTAAGACAACAAGGTTTTCATCACTAGTTATCAGCATGAGCCTTTCTCTTGGCATGGTCTAGGACTTGGTCCCTTCTCCGAGGTTTATAGTCCTGAGTTTCCTGCTTATGGCTTGGACAGTCCCTCATAAAATGACCAGGTTTTCTCTATTTATGACAAAGATCATTTGCATTTGTTGCTCTGCTGGTCGAGCCTTTCTTTTGAAAGTCTCCATGCTTCTTAATTATCTTCTGTAACCTTCTAGTGATGTTTGCCATTTCATCCTCTTCGTCAGTTCCATTATTTGAAGATATCTCAAGGGCTACTGATGTCTCCTTCATTCCTTCATTCATGGTTGACCCCTGTTTTCTGTTCAACTTGTAGATTTGAATATTTTCAATCAACTCATCCATGGTGAGAACTGTCAGATCTGTTATTTCAGTGATATCATTCATTTTGCTCATCAATGACTTGGAAACACCTTTAGAATCTTTCAAACTTCTTTGCTTGGTTGAATAGGCTTACCAAAACATCTTAGTTTGTTGATTATGGAAGTGAATCTTGTTTTATTTTGTGAATGGTTACACCTTTCTTCAAACAGAAGGAGTTGTTAGCATATCGACCTTAGACTCGTTTATTTGTGTCGTTCCTTCATAGAGTGTTTTGAGACATTCCCATATCTCTTTAGTTGTCTCGCAAGCAGATATTCTGTTGTACTCATCTGAGCCGATTCGACGTACCAAAATCTTTTTTATTTATAGTTCTTCTCTATCTTTTTCTTGTTCGATTCATTATGTTCTTTCTGATTTTAGGAATCACCTTATTAATCTCTCCATCTATCACATCTTTGGAGGGAATGTAAGTTCCGTCAAGAATAACGTCCCACGTCTCAATATTTTCAGCATTGATGTAGTCGTATATGTGATTCTTCCACCAACCATAAAACTTTCCATTGAAATGAGGTGGTCTGGTGGTTGACTAACCTTCTTCCATGTCAGGTGGAGCAGTCATTTCTTTAAGATATTTTCTTTTCTTGGTATTACCCAAATATAAAAGTCAAGCTCTGATACCACTTGATGGAATGTATACGTCCACTACTTTCGATAGGAACGGGTCCTTAACACAATTACGATAAATAAAAAAAATAATCAAAGTAAAGATAGTATGCACAACTTTACATGGTTTAACCTCCATGCTCAAGGGAGAAAAACCACGACCTGTCTCACAGGATTTTCAAACTGCTTTTACTAAAATTCACAAGCCAAAGTAAAATCAAGTTTATAATACACACGAGATTAACCTCTTAAGCTCTATTCTGAGTAATACACTATTACTCAATGAGCCAAACCAATTCCTGCAATGTCCATTATTCTAGCCCAATTGATTAATATATACTTTGACGTAAGACATATAATTCCTCTCTAACTGAATTCTTACAATGACTCACCCAAGGTTAAAATATTTTGATCACAAGTGAATGAATCCTATGATATAAGAAAAAATACAAGCAATCAAAGTAACAACTGGTCCAGGAAGTAATTTGACAATCTATGAGCTTGAATAATTCTCTTTGCATGAATGATTAATTTGTTGTTTGTTGTCTTGAATATATCAAACATCAAGATTTAATACACATTGTACAAACAACGTCGTCTTTATTGGTGTAGTACACTGACGACCTCACCAACATTTGACAAGGACAACTTTTCAGTTGTATAGCATATGAACCTGGACGGACATACTATACAGAAGATTAGGTCCCTGCATTTGTGAGGAGATTATTAAAACATCTTTGAGCATTAAGACTTATCAACCTGAGCCAATGGAGGCAACGTGGGTTGCAGAGGAGAGCAACAGCGAAAGTGTAGCAGCGACACAACTAGATCCGAATGCTGATAACAAATATATGAATCCATATCCTTTAAATGGTATTCCCAAAACAGTTTTCCCAAGATATATGTGTTGTGATTTTATTTTTTAGATGAGAAAGTATATTTTCAAAAGGAAAGTTATCTTCCAAAAATAGGACATCTCTAGACAAATAAACTTTAGACTTTATTGGATCAAACCATTGGTGGCAATAATATTTATTTAAATAAACACATGGATTTTAACGAAGCTCTAATGTATTACTATCATAAGGTGTAAGTCATGGATAACATAGACAATCGAAAACTTTAATGAAATCATATTCTGGTGCATCTTAAAATAGAATCTCATATGGACACTTATCTTTCAAACTTGGAGTGGTTAGTCTATTTATATGATAGACAACTTGATGACAAGCAAAACTCCAAAAAGATGATGGTATGAGAAATTATGTAATAAAGTTCTGACAGACTCATTAACATATGTATGTCGGCGTTCAACTAGAGCAACTTGTTACGGTGTATATGGAGGTGAAATTAAGTGTTTAATACAATGTATTTTTAGATTAGATGACAAACTTTAAAAAATCGCCTCCCCCAGCATTGTACATAAATAAAATTTATGTTTGGATTCATTTTTCAAGCAATGGATGCAGATTTTGGAAAATGTCTAGAACTTCCTTTTTTGATTTTAAAGTGAACAACCACATGTATTTACAGAGATGATCAATGAATGAAACATAATATATTTTGTTTATCAATTGGTAAAACAGGAAAAGGACCCCATAAATCACTATAAAGTGCAATGATTTTTCACTTCGCAAAGAATTTTCATAAAATGACAGCATGTGCATTTTATTTGAATGTATAACATGATTTACAACTTTAAATGTTCCTAGAATGAGAAACAAGAATATAAGCTTCTGCAAAATTATTCAAAACATGGTTATTATGATGTCGTAAGTGTCGATGTCATAGATTGAGAGGAACAACTACATTGATCATAGGAGAACTATGTGTACTACCCAATGATCACTCATCCAACCATTTCTGTTCACCCCTCGCAGTAGAGGCGCCCACGTACTAAGATCCTTTAAAGAATAATGAAAGGGATAAGATTCAATAGAGGTTAGATTATCCCGACAAAATTTAGAATTAAAAAATAAGATTGTTTTTATGGCAAAAGAACATAGAGTGTTAATGACTTTGAAATCATAGTTCGATGGACTTATGTTAACTTTATCGATATGAGTAATTGGAATTGTACCGTGGTAGTCATGCACGATGTCTAAACTCTAATAATTAGAAGCAATGTGATAATTTGCTCCGCTATCAACTAACCAAGAGTTATGTTGTTGATTGAAACAGCCAATAAAGTTAATTGGGGATTGCATATGGTATTGCGACTAAGAACGACGGATTTGGCTGAGTGACTAGGATGACCACAAAGGTTGCAATGAATATTGTTATATGATTGTAATTGATTTTTTCTTGGATATTATGGTTGTGAATGCGAAAATTGATTGTTGGAAGCATTTTTATGTTAACGCGTATTTAAAAGACCACAAATGTGAAGTCTTTTTTAAAAAAAATGCAAGGGTAATATAAGAAAATGTAAATAATGTTTTCTTGATTTATTAAGGTTGACAACTAACATGGGACAATTATTTTTAATAAGACAATAAACTAATATTAGACGAAGAGAATATTATTTTTATCTATTGAACTACCCAATACAGGGACAGACTCACCCTTAGCCAAGGGAAATCAAGTGACACCCTTTCATTGAACATTACATTGTATATAAAGTCTAAATTTTGATTTTATATACATTGACACGTCTTGACATAAGTTAAAGATTTAGTCTAGTGATAAAAGTATGTGAAAATATTTCCTCCCCCTCCTAAAAAAGTTCTCTCTATGTTTTTGTTTTTCAGTGACATAGTGTTCTTCGTTTTATTATTTTCATAACATAGTTTTGTTATACTTAACCTATCCTAATGAAATGCCTTATTATGTTATGTTTTTTCTTTCTCTGTATTGCATGTTTTCCATGTAGTGTGTTGCTCATGGCTATGAATTCCCTACTATTTGCTTAACATATTGCATGTATTTACTGTTTTATCTTTTTAAAGATGTCAAAAAGGAAAATATATTGCATGTGCGTTAAGGGTATTGGTGAAAGAGGGAATATGAAAACAAGGGAACGGAGATATGTGGAACGATAATGATATGAATGAATAATTACATGTGGAACTTGTTTGTTTGTCATCATCAAAAAGAAGAAATGTAGTATCAGTATTCTGATGATTCTTACAAAGGCTTGATGAACCTGGTCCAAGGTAGAATGCCCCCGTCCAAGTTTGAATGGTGAATAGTTGTAAAGTTAACTTGTCAATGGTTAGGTGAGAAGGACAGTGCACTCCTCCTATGAGAATTGATGAGGTTGTTTTTTCGACGTATGACACATCCTTGATAACCTATTCAATGGCATGCGTTAGTTCAGATTCACCAAATTCATTAGTACTAAAAGATATGGTAGTATATATTATTTGCCTTTAGGATAGGCAATCATTGATTACATTATTTATTAGGCAATTTTTTAGAAGAAATTTTTGTTGGCGTCCAAGAAGACCTGTTTAATGGCATGCGTAGTTTCGGACGGCAAACATCTGCATTTTATACTTCAAATGAGGCCCAGAATTACAAAAAATACCACATTTCTCATTTTACTTGTGCTATACTCTATAGATTTTAGGTGATATGTCATTATGACGTGTTTATGGAGTCTGTTACAACCTTCTTAATGGCGTTGATTTGTCCGTAAGGAAAAAATCTAGATTATCAAGTTCAAATGAGACGCGGAATGAGAAATAATAAATTTTTCAGTTTACGTGTACTATAGTCCATGAGTTTTGGGTGATATGTGATTGATATGTTTTTTAACAAAAAATTTTGCATGCATTTTTGACAAGCTTATTAATGGTGTGCGTTGTAAAAGGGGGTAAACATTTGCATTTTAGGTGATAAGTGATCCCGATGAATTTTTGGCCAAAATATTTTGTGATCGTCCCTAATGACCTTAATAATGGTATGCACTGGTTTGAAGGGACAAACATCTGCATTTCAAGTTCAAACAAGGTCTGGAATAGGATACCAAATTTCTCATTGTGTGCGTCCATGGATTTTGGGTGATAAGTGATCCCGATGTGCTTTTTGCTAAAAAATTTGTGAGTGTCTGTGACGACTTTATTAATGGTGTGCCTTGATCTATTGTCAAATGTTTCAATTTACGTTTGCTATAGGATTTTGGTGATATATGGTACAGATGTGTTTTTGGCTAAATAATTTTATGGGCGTCTGTGACGACTTATTTAATAGCACGCGTTAGTTCAAAGCTACCTAATTCAATATGTACTAAAATATATGGTATTATAAATTGTTTGTCTTTAGAAGAGATAATCATTGATTACATTCTTTATTAAGTAGTTTTCTGGATGAAACTTTTTTAAGGCATCCGCAACGATCTGAATAATGATGTGTGTTAGTTCGAGGGGTAAACGTCTACATTTATAGTTCACACAAGGTCCGGAATAGAAAATGCCAAATTTCTTATTTAGATGTTCTATAGTCTATAAATTTTGGGTTATATGTGCCACGAATATTTTTTTGGCCGAAATATTTTGTGGGTGTCTGTGACGACCCATTGATGGTGTGGGTTGGTCTGGAGGAAAAAATGTCTGCATTTTAAAGTTCAAACAAGGCCTAAAAAAATAAATACAAAATTTTTCATCGTACGTGTGTTATAGACTATTAATTTTGGGTGATATGTAATCCTAGCGTGTTTTTTTGCTGAAATTTTTGTCAACGTATGTGACAACCTTATTAATTATGTGCATTGGTCTGGAGGGGTAAAAGCATGCATTTTCATGTTCAAACGAGACTCATAAAAGGTTAAACCAAATTTCTTGTTGTAGGTTTTCTATGGTCTATGGATTTGGGTGATATGCAATTGTGGTGTATTTTTGGCTGAATGTTTTTGCAGACGTCTGTGACGGCCTTATTAATGGCGGAGGTTGGTCCGAATGGGAAAACGTCTGTTTTTTCTAGTTTAAGTGAGGCCCATAATAGGAAGTACCAAATTTCTTATTTTATGTGTGCTATAGTCCATGTATTTTGAGTGATATGTGATCCCGATGTGTTTTTTGCTGAAATTTTTGTGGACATCCCAAACAACCTTATCTATGGTTTGTGTTGGTCCGAAGGGGCAAACATCCACATTTTAAATTTCAAATGAGACCCGAAAAAGAAATATCACATTTCTTGTTTTACGGGTGCTATTCTATCGATATTTGAGTGATATGTCATCCCCGCGTGCTTTTGGTAAAAAAAATTGTGGACGTCTATGACGACCTGATTTATGGGGTGGGTTTTTCCATAGGGACAAACGTCTGGATTACAAAGTTCAAAAGAGGCACGGAACGGAGAATAACAAATTTCATGTATTATGTATGTTATAGTCCAAGGATTGTGATATGTAATTCAGACGTGTTTTTTATTGAAAGTTTTTATGGGCATCTGTTACGACCTTATTAATGACGTGCATTTGTTCAGAGGGACAAACATCTGCATTTTCAAGTTGGTTTGGGTTGGTCCAGAGGAGCAAACATACGTATTATCAAGTTCAGACGAGGCAAAAATGGAATAAATCAAATTTCTCGTTTTACATGTGCTATAGTTCATGAATTTTGGGATATATGTGATCATGACGTGTTTTTGGTCGAAAGTTTATGTGACCTCTGTGTCGACATTATTAATGGTGTGGGTTTGTCTGGAGGAAAAACGTTTGCATTTTCAAGTTCAAATATGGTCAGAAACAAAAAATTTCAAATTTCTCGTCTCGTTTTACATGTGCTATACTCCAAGGATTTTGGGTGATATATATGATTCTGACGTGTTTTTGGCTAAAAAAATTGTGGAAGCCCGTGACTACCTAGTTAATGGTCTGGGTTCGTCAGCAAAGACAAATGTCTACATTTTCAAGTTCAAATGAAGTCAGAAATGAAAAATATATCAAACTTTATGTGTATTATTAACCCATGAATTTTGAGTAATATGTGATCCCTGCGTATTTTTTATTGAAATTTTTCATGGGCACCTATGACAACCTTATGAATGGACTGCATTGATCCGAAAGGAAAAACATATGTATTTTTTAAAATTCAAACAAGACCCAGAATAACGAGTCCATCAATTTTATGTAATATATGAATCCAATGATGTTTTTGACCAAAATTTTTATAGGTATCCTTGACAACTTACTTAATCGCGCACATATATTCGAAAGAGCAAACGCAGATACTTTCAAGTTCAAACAAGATCCAAAACAATAATAAAAAAAAAGATTCCTCTCACTTCTCGTGTATTGTAATATCTGCGCCCAGCCATTTTTTGTTCCAATATTTTCCATTTACATTGATAACGATCTAATAAATAGCACGTGTTGGTTCGAAAGAGTTTTCAAGTTCGATCAATTGCTGGAACCAAAAACAAACAGTGATTTTTCAATTTGAAGAAAGAATTTTGTAGACACATGCACCCATCAATTTTTCGGCCGAATATGTTTCGATGCTACATTCCATAATAATCCAAACTGCCACTATATTTAGTAATTAGACATCAAACTCTCACTTTTGTGCAATATAACATATAGCCAAGGATTCTACAACTCAATAGCACTAAAAAGCACGTCGACATAAAACAGATCACCATCCAACCCTACCTTGTTCCCAAACAACAGCATTGCAACTCTGCACCCGAAAGGGTAGAGAAAAGAAAATAGGTGCAATCGATCTTTTTATTTAGCCAACACGTCAATATAGTACAATGGGACCATGCAACATTCAGAATATATCTTACGATGCATCTATCTGATGTTTGTTAACCTACCATTCGGATATATTATACATAATTCCTTATTGAGATAGTGGATTGCTTTGCAGTTGTGCTATTTATGCTAGAGCTCCAGTTGCTTCCTCAATTACCGGTCTTCATAGATCACTCTTATTGAATGTTACTACCACATCATCAAATGATAAGGTCTAGCACTCATCCAACCTTATTTTCCCCTCAACATCCAAATTCTAGATATATCTCATAGTGGAGAACCTTTCTAGAGTCGCTAGATGGCCAAGCCTGCAGAAATTGAAAAAATTGGTTAATATTATACATAAAGCCATGATGATTGGTGACAAGAACTTCTAATTGTTCCTTACCTCCAGATATTCTGAATCTGTACTCTTGTAACTGATATAAATGCATTACCAATGCACATCATGGGTCAACAAATGAAGGAAATACAGCCTTGCCTAGATAAACCTGTTGCATCTCCTCCCTCCATATCTAGGAACAATGATGTTTCATAGGTTAAATACAGGGTTTTAACTATTTTTAAAAAAAACTAAAGATTTGTGTCACCAGAGAGTATCTTAAAACCCAAATATCAAATAAATAGAAACATCACAGTATGAAAATTTTGTTTTACAATTTTCAACTGAAAAAGGAATAACAAGAACAACGATCAGTGCTCTTCTGCCAACACCATAAGATATAAATTCTAGTCAAGGAGAAACGCAATCTTCAAGCTGCTTTTAGAGAACAAATAATTCCCTCGTCCAGTAAGGTGCAATGAACATTAGAAAGGAGTTATACAAGTAGAATTCCAATACAATTCTCCACTTAAGAGGATCTAAATTGAGGTACATTATATACTACAGAAATAAACACTTACCATATCACGGAATTCAAGCCTGATATGAGGCACATTTGTCCTATGAATATCATTTCCATCTGGTCCTCTCTTGTAATACTCCTTCCCAATCCAGTGGGACTAAGTATAGAAGTGGAATATGTCAGGAAAAAACACAAACACAAGCATCAAAAATCCCAACCAGGGAAATTAGCACACACCAGCCATTTAAGTAAGACGAGCAATAGAAGGTAAACATGTAAAATATGCAGAAAGTGTCATCGATTCCAAAGCCAGAGGAGCTGGATGTCATTGCCATTCCCACTGACCTGGAATGACCCCGACAGTCCAACACCTAAACCCAATAAGGAAACAGGGAAAATCAGAACATGATTGCAATCAAACAATTACAAGTTCACTACTGAACCTCAATATTCAATGTACTCATCCTAACAACAAGAAACAAAAAATGAGCACAGTGACAACGAATAGAAGGGTACCCCCAATGAAATATTGTTGTTTTTAGAAAAGGTAACATGAAGGCAAATGAGATATAGATGTAATCAGATTTAGATTTCAGTTGGATGAATTGCACTTCGAGGCATCCATGTGGATCTACAAACATTGGAAGTGTGCATCAACTGACTAATGAAAATTGGTGAAAGCAGAGATTGGTAGCCATTGGAAAAAGGCATGAGCTTTGGTGAATATTGAGAGCTGGGATCAAAGTACCATGCTATTAGCAATTAAATTTTTTTGGAGATACACAAACCTTTAGTGCATGTGAGAAACCAGACTGGTAAACTGAATTGCGGGCAATCTCACATAAATCGCACGAACTCAACTTCCAAACCTGCATGCTGAAAACAATTAAACCCCTTGACAAAGTGACACCATCAAGTGTTTCAGCCAAGAACAAAGAATACTCACTGACGCAGCTATACTATACTCTTCAACCAGGGCTTCTTTTGTTAAGTGAATTTGCAAGGGATCATCCGTTGAAAGAGAAACATTCAGGCCCCTCAAGAAGAACATGGGCAAAGGATTCCGATGGTAGTCCAAAAATAAAGAATTGTTACTAAGAGGAGACATTGCCAAACCAATCTGACAAAAAAAGGTCATGACTGATAATCAGAAACACACACAACAACAGCATAACCAGCATATTGCCACAAGTGGGGTCTTGGGAGATGGGGTGTACGTAGAACTTATTCCTACCTTTATAGGGTAGAGAGTTTTGTTTGTGATATACCCTCAGCTAAAAAAAAACATTTTCACATGACCACAAAAAATTCACTTCAATCTCTTCATTTACCTGAGCCAAGTAATATAAGTACTGAAGTACCGGAGACTTCCTCAAATTGATACCATGAGCAATATTATGGGATGTTAAAAATGTTGCTGCAAGGTGGTCAATATCTCCAGCCTGTAGATAGTAAAACATCTAATCATCAAACAAAAGTAACTCGTAATTAACACACAATATAATGATATGCCTGAGTGACTACCTCCCCAGCATGTGGCCGGAATTTGATGGTCGTCATGCCTTTTGACTCACGCAACTGAGATGTAAATTTCGAAAGGGTCAGAACTGTACATATGAAAAGCGTTAAGAGCATATATATCAACGAGATATCTGTGTGGTAAAGCAATCATTTCTCTATCAATATTGTGGTAGACAAACCTAGAGCAGTGATCCTGAACTTGCAACACATTCATTGTAGACTAGGATCAAATCCCTCTAGTGTGAAAATGGATTTGCTAATGAGGTAATATGAAACCATCCCAACTTCCTTTAACAACCATCAAACAGAAATACAATAATAACAATTGAGTTTTTTTTTCCATACACATCAAAAAATAAAAGACAAGGACCAACAAAGACATAGAATGTTATCTCGAAGTATAGTTGAGACAGACCGTCTCTAGATTCTAAACAACCTTCCTTTTTCTTTAATGGTCTTAAATATGTGTTTCTCACCATCTTTCTCAAGCAATCAGCAAATGTTGTACCGGAAGCATTTTATGGAACATTGAATGATGCCAGACACTGAAAGTGCTACTTTTAGCCAAAATTATGATAAACAGAAGATAAGCCGCAATGCTTGGAATGTTGCTCCACTAACACTTACGTGGCTGTCTGGAGCAGGAAATAGGAGACAGGATACTTTTGAAGAGATAAGAGATCAATCCTGTATGGTTGAGGAGATCCGTCTTACCCTTATTTCCTTTTTAAGCACCCATGAGGCTCTTGTAGGTAGAGAAGATTGGGTTCCGTTTGTATAAAACCACATCTTTTAGTAGGTTTTCGGCTATTTGGTATACTTCTTGTGTACATACGTTTGTTTTTCCCAAATATTCATGTCCAAAAAATATATATTTCATGAAAATAAGGACACATTTATGCAGAAAACCCAGAGGGGTGTTTGTTTTAAGCTTATAAGTCTTGTCAAAACTAGCTTATCAGCATTTTTGTCTTATCTATGCATTTGGTAACACCAAAAGTGCTTATACATCACGAGCTTGTAAACCAAAATCCATCAGTTGTCACTCCTGACTTATAGTTTAAAAGCTTATGAGAACTTTTGGTTTGACCAAACCTTTTACAGTTTCATCCCTAAAACCTTTTGTAATCTTTGAAATACTCTTCTTAATATACAATTCAACTCTCAGTTCTTTCTATTTCTGTCAAACAACCCTTTTCATGTAAAAAATACTATGAACTTGTATTTTTTAATTAGCTTTAAGGATATTTCAGTCATTTTAAAATACTTTTTGACCGAAAACACTTCCTATATATCATCAGTTTCATTGCTGCTTACTCATAAAATCAGCTTCAGCACTCATAAGTAATGCTTATCAGCTACTTTTAATGAGCCAAGTCAAATGGAGTCATAATGCCTTAGCTAGGTTCATTTAGCAAATAAGATACTACTTCATACATAGTGGTCCATTCAAACTAATTCTCCCACTGTCCATTTCACCAATCTATCACCAAAGCATCCTCAAATGCAAGATAATTATGAAAAGGTTGTAGCACTATTGTCCGTTTCCAATCAGAGAAGGAAGAGATTGATGACAGGAATAAAAGGGGAAAGGAAGAAATAGAACTGAAGTAACTTACGAACCTTGTTCAGGGTGTAGAGATTAGCATAACAATAGTAGACATAGTATGAGAATGCAGGATTGAATACGTTAGTCCATTGAGCAGGTGTAGGCATGTGTTTGGTAGGCCTTCTTTCTGGTTTGCTTTCATCATCCACCAAATCCAATCCAACAACCTTTAAGATAACAGAACAAGACGTGCAAGTAAGAACATATTGTGATTAAAGGATAGAAAGAAGTGGATGATTGCTGCAAATAATTCCAAAGGCAGCGCACTGAAATTGAAGAAACATGCTGCCACAGTTATATCTTATATACCATTCCCTTTTTTTTCCTTCACAATAATATTTTGGGTCATCTACTTTATTTTATGATGTATTCAACAAAGATCTTTACATTCGCCAAATGTAGATGTTTTCCCTGATATCACATAATAGAGGGAAGGGAAAAATAAATAGCAAATACAACCGATCAAACTCGATCCCAACACGTACTACCATAGGAGCAGTCTTGGTACTTCCTAAAATATGCATCACAAGTCGGAGTCAAACTTGACTACCAAAATCTTTAGTCCTCAACCGAACATGGGCCGACCATGTCCCGTCAGTAAATACAAGGAAGATAATTCTAAAGTTTAGTAAATCATACCTGCTTCAAGAAGATGTGCAGGTGGGGATGTGAATCTGGGTCAACAGTAACCTCAAACAAGGGCAGAAAGATGTTGTCAAGGATATTCTGAAATGATGTCACAATCCCCATTTCTTTGTATATGTTATACAGTCTCGGAAGCTGGAGAAAAAGAAAGCATAGAATAAGAACAACAGCAAATGAAGTAAAATATATTTTCCATCCATTCCTTCATACAAATGAAAGTTAAATGGTCACTATCGACAGAAATAAAACTAAGTCACTAAATGGATTAAGACGATCTAGCGTAAGATAACTGAAGTGTTTTTTAGAAGGTAATCAGACTAATCCAAGTCTACCAAGTTGTGAATATTAATTTTCAATCTTAGGAATCTTAGCTTAGTCGGATTAAGGTTGAAGGTTAAGATTATATTTAGACAGTCTTCATGATCTTACCTCAATCACATGCCTCCTTGTAATTGCACATATATCATCTAAACTAATTGGAAATAGACACACCGAACTCATATGCTTTTACATTCCCCCTAAGAGAGTAACCAGAGAAAGTGTGACATATATCATGAGAAATGTCCAGCTCTAATCCAAAGTCACAACTAGTTAAGACGCGACAACCAAAATGCTTACAATTGACCAGCAATTGCATATATTTTATCATACCTGAATCAACCAAACAACATTCTCGCTGTAGAGTTCATTGTTCACTATCCAGCTAGCAAGTTGGTCCCACTCGCTCATCTTTCGGCCGTATATTGATATCCTGTATTCTGCCATCTACAACAAAGTGGATAAAGATTAAGAGAAGCCAAATGAAAAGGACAGACAACCAGTGTATTCTGACATCGCTTTGTCGCTTAAAGTGATATGACATGAGGAGTTATTGCTTCATGGCCACACACTTGATAGAAGTATGTGCGCAAACAATAAGGCACAAAGTGATCCCAATCAGAAGCAGTCGGTTCTTTGAATCTCACCTTCGAGGAATACAACTAATATCAACATAGTTGTATATCAGGTACCACAAAATGACTACTACATGTTTGGTTTTTCTCTAATATAACAATTTTAGCATCCGTTTTACTTAAAAGAAGTGTGTGCTTCAATTGCCATTTTTATCTTCAAGTCCCATGGACCTTGCTGCTTTTTGAACTTTTTGTATATTAAGAAACTGGAAATGACAGGGCTCGACCATGGGAAATATAGTTCTTTTTAACTAAAATGTACCTTTAGATACAACATCATTCTGATCATGTTTTAATAACAACAGAGAAAAACATTGTATTGCAAGCAGTGTAAACTTATGCAATGCAATTTGGACCGAGGCATAACAAGAGTCACCCCAAGCTCACAAAGATATTTCAGACTGCATTTGGCAATAATTAAGTTTTCAGAGACACCAGTTTTTAGTGAGTCGGGAGGGTAATGAGACATGTTAGGAAGAAACAGGGGGAAAGAGGATAACAGTTATCAGTTACAAGAATGAACCTACTTGATATTTGCTTGCAGAAAGATCAGAAAACACTTGCTTAGTTAGCTCAGCAAGAAAACGACCTGCAACAGAAATCATAAAACATCATTAAATAACTTCAATAAATTGGACGTCAGTTCAGTTGGGATAAGACAATCTGAGTTACCCAATATCTAGTGCACTTTTTATTTTCCTTAGGTCACCTGAGTTGAATGTTGTATGGCATGGTATGTGCTATGCAAATTTAATGCACATCCTTCAAGACAAAACTTGAATTTGCTAAAGTTAAACATACCCATACCAGAAACATAGCTATACACATTCAGATACTTACCCACATCCAAGTTCAGGTAAGATGGGATAGTTACTTGATAACTTTGAAACCAGACTACAACTTCTGTTTGATCTTATAGAAGATGAATATAAAGTGATAATAGGACCAACTAGAAAGAATTAAAGATATGACAAGAATACCTTGTATAAGATTATCCTGCTTAAGGAAAATTTCCCTCAGCCTACTTTGACCGCAGGGATTGTACTTCAGATTAAATTTGTCAAAACGATGAAAGGTGCTCTTGTCAGCATGAACATCTAAGAGGTCAACATTGAGGTCATACCTTTTCAAAGAAGAGTAAAACCATGAAATCTCGTTAGTAGTTAGGTCAAACCACATACTCTTTCAAACACCAACTCCTAGACACTATTTTCTTACCCAGTCAAATCTAAGCTCTCAAAGACTTCCTTTAAGGTCATATAAGTTCCATCGCGAAATATCACAACCTGAAGAAAATCAGGAGATGTCTAGAGAATCAGAGAACTGAAGCATACATCAGAAAAGAAATAAAAACGAAAAAATACCTCATCAGGCTCCTTCCTTAACTTTGACTTGATGAATCTCAACAAATGCTTCTGATTCATGCATGCTGAGTGATGAACATGCGTATCAACCTTCCTCACATTGTAGAAGTCACGATGAGGTGCACTTTTCTGAGCAAGGAACTCTCGATCCGCATTGAGCATCAAATGTAGATTGAATTTCTGGATAAAACCCAAGTGTCATAACCAAATTACATGTCATATTATCAGGAAGAAAAGCGAGCAGGGAGGTATATACTTGTTCCAGAAGCACTAGGCGATGGTGGCATAAAGTTCGGATGTTTCCAGCTGCTATTACTTTGAGGATGTGATGGAAGTCGGTGAAAAAGGTAGTAGCATCAGCAACAGGAAAAAGTTTCTCCGTAGCTGGTCCAAGTGCAAGGGGGAGGGGCAGACATTAAGAGTGAATAGACCACGAATTAGATAGTCCTTATAAACTATAAAGGTAAGAAATAATGAAGTACAAGAGCTTTCCAGGCTTACAATCTTCATTTGCATATACATGAACAACTCCATCTTCCATCTGAAAATAATGCTGTTGACGTAATCAAGAAGTTTATCAGCAGAAACCACGAGTAATAGAACACATATATCTATTCCTGAAAATAAAATTGTAGTAGCAACAAATACCATATCCACAAATCTAGCATTAATGATAGTGATGGTAGTGTTTCTTGCACATAAAAACTTACATCAGATTTTCCTTCAGGAGTGAATTCAAATGGATTTGGATTTGGCTTTGGGGTGCATGGATCAGAGATTACTTCTTTCACCCAAGGAGCAACAGCCTCCTTGAATACATAACTCTGTCTCATTTCAAGACAAACTTGCAAGTTTCGGTAGACCTCCGCTTCATCGGCAGATGGTGTCTCTAGAAATTGCATTAATAAAAAAATTTAAAGGATGCTGGAACCTTTAACACATAAAAGAGACATCACTACTCTTTTTTTACTTCTAAGGAACAGCTACAGTACAGAAAGTATACTTCCTCTTCTTACAAGGAGTTCTTATTTTTTGTTCTGCATACTAGGTAACAAGATCCAAAATTTGGAGAATGATACAATGAGAATATATTCTCATCAAGACTACAGCAATATAGTACTCCTGATACCAGTATAAACACTCAAATTGGCCAATCAGTCATTAAGTTTAGGTAGCACATAGTACACTAATTCAATGCTCATTCCCAATAAGACAACAGCAACATAACTTATCTAATACAAAAGAGAACAAAAAAGAAATGACAAAGTAGATGGACATGGTGATTTAGTTTCTCAGGTTATGCAAGGGCACACTTTGAGCCCCAAGAAAGGTAGAGAGTCAATATAGATCGGCTACTATAGAGAGGAGAGAAAAGATACTACTCAAAGAATGTTCATTTTGCCCTTTGATATATTGAACTATGATGATGCTTGACAATGAAACTTTTTATGTCTTTATAGGAAAGCCTCTCATGGGCAATAAAAGTAAGTTGCATCTCCTGTTTTTTCCAAAATCCAGTTATGATCACTGGTTCACTTGGTATATGCAGAATTGGGTGGCATGTTTCTAATTTCTTTACCTTAAATGTGATTTATTTTTACTCTTATTTAAGATAGAGGAAAGACAAATAAGACTTCCTTTCAACAATGCTTCGAGTGACCATGACATACCTTAGTGTACAGATGAAAAAGCTGTAATGATGCACATCTAGGTACTCAGTGTTATTTTGCTTTCTCTGAATACGAAAATGCTATGCTGAGTCTCCGAGATTCAAAAAAAGGCATAGTGGTTTAAGAACCTTTGATAGCATGCCAAGGACTGGAATACAAAAGGGAAAATTACCTCCAGGGGATATCTTCAGTCGTACAAATGTTTCTTGCTCTGGCTCTTTCCGTAGAATATCTGCAGCTATTGGATCAGGTTGAACACCATGCAAGTCACCAGAGACACTGTGTGAGCGAATCATACTTGCTGCTGCAGCCAGAGCTATTTGTTCCCCGTCAGCATCTGGGCCCTGTTTAGCAATTTCGCAAATTGTTAGAAGTAATCAAAAGATTGATATGTTCATGAACATAGTAAAATTGTCCTTGCAGTCATTGTGAAACCTTAAAATATATGTTTTCCATGGTAAGTAATATACTTGGAATCGAAAAGCATGATTATGATGGCTATTTTCCGCTCTTGTTTTATTTTTGTGTCTGGGGGGGGGGGGGGGGGGGAATGGGGGAAGTCCACCAGTACCGCATTCCCATTAGTTTGTAGATAGGCAGTGTCAAGTTTAGTAGTGTCCGTAATATTGTCTTCCTCATCTGATCCTTCTATACTTTCAAATGCACTTGCACTTGCAACTGGAGACTTCGGAGAAGTTGGTCTAAGCGAATGTGTAGATCTTGATTTCCCTTCAAAAAAAGAATTTAAAAAAATGGTGAACATGGCATAGTGGAAAACTTTTTGACTTCAAGTACAGATCAGTTCTAATAAAAAAAGAGAGACAAATAAGCAACATATCTTGTAAAATTCTGAATCAAAACATATGGCCAGAGTCAAGTACAAAAACACCCGCTTATACCGGAACAACACCTTCAATGCCTCTTTTGCATGTCATAGGATCACTAAAGCATCTAGGGAATGATAACCAGGACACAGCACACTCAAGGCAAATTTCTCCGTTCCTTGGATTCCATTATAAAAAAACTGATTGCAGTAATGTCAAACATCAGATCATGATTGTATGTGAGTTAGGACGCTGTCTTATGAGGCAGAAATAAGTTACTGAAAAAATGCTTGATTGAACTCAAATCAGGGATAATCAATGGCCTCATTTGTTTTATAATTACTTCCTACTCAAGATTCTACTTCTAGGAAGTAACATAAAGGAGTAAGCATATGGCAAGACATTATTCGCATTCTGAGTTATGGTATTCAAAAGTACTGGGACGTTGAAACACCCAGGACAACACGATGTACCCGAGCATCTTCCATATATCTGGAAATTGTATCCATGTAAAAAAAACTACTACTGCACTTGAGTACAAAGTTAGGCTATTAACCTTTTCCACCATAAAATGGTTATGCTACTGCAGATCTTCCAATAGTAAAGAAAGGATAATTTCCTTGTCATTGCAGATAGCACCTCTACAGAAATTGTCACTAGCAACTCATTTGTTTTTTTTCAAGATAGCGCAAACTACAGAAATTGTCACTAGCAACTCGCTTGGTTTTTTCAGTCGCTTCTTTACCAATAGTATATGACAACCGACACCTAAGCTCAGAAAGGTTGCATTCCAAATTTGTAGCATATCAAAAGCCAAACAGCTGCCTAGTATAACTACATCTCCAAAAAAAGATGTTCTGAGAAAGTTCCTTTTTTTTGGAGAAAAAGTAGATAGATGTTCGGAGAAAATTCCCTTTTTTGGAGAAAAGGTAGAAAGATATTCGGAGAAAGTTCCCTTTTTTGAGAAAAGGTAGAAAGATGTTCGAAAAATCAAATACTCTAATATTTATTATTGTTTAAATAAAGGTATTTAATCCACATTCAGAAGCTACAAAACAAACAATTTTAATTATTCAATGGCCAGAAATATAATATCTTAATCGATTCAAATATATATCAACATTTAAGCGTCTAAATCTTAGTAAAAACAACTGAAACCCTAATGCCTTGAGGCAACCTTTTTTTCAACCGGAAGGGAAGCAAAATCCAGATAGCATGAAAACTTCAAAATATTATTCCTTTATACATTAAAATGTCTTTAGTGCAGAAAAGAACAAAACAATTGCTACTTTGAAGGATCTAAGCCTTCTATTTCAATTTATATGACATAATTCGAGTGTTGACTGAGTATAGAATTTAAAAAAGAAAGAAAGACTTCCAAAACTTGTGATCTTAAATATGTTTGGCTATTAAAGCTTGTCATTAAGGTTTAAATGGAATTTCAAGTGAAATTGTTTTCAAATCTTAAAAGTGTTCTTTTTTTAAGGGACTAACAAGAAATAGTGTCCTCTCTGGAATAGTGTCATCCTCTCTGGACTAAATATGTCTGTTTGATTCTTCTCTATTTGGAATAAAAACTAAATGTTGTAAATGACATGGATAATTTCTTTGAGTTTCTCCACAACTAATTATTTTATGATATGGTCACCTAGATTTATGCTTCACATGAATCAATTGTGTTATTAATTTTGCACCTCAAACCCACAACTTCACGGTTAGAGGCGGAGGAAAAAACTTCCTCTTGAGCTAATCTCTCTAGTCAGTAAAAAGGCAACTTTTTGTACAACTGTATATGTAATCAGCACATTTATGTGCTAAATGTGATTAAAGAGGAAATTTTCCATTGATCAATTAATTATGCTTACATTCACGCCAAATCAGTACAGGTCATCTACATCCCTTCCACCCAATTATATTTATACGTTCTTAAATAAACAAGAAATGTAAAAAGAATCCTTCCTTTATCCCTGACATAATAATGCACCATCATTAACGTATGGTTGTAGCTTAGTTGTAAGAATTCCACGCTGTGACCGTGGACACCTGGGCTCGAATTTGAGCTGCCATATCAAAATATAATTTTCCCTTGTCAGTATTATTATTAACGCTCCCCTACTACCTTATTCTTAGATTATATTACTACACGTTGCTTCCTCTGATTTGATTGTCGTACTAGCTGTGTTGTTGCCATTCTTTTCTCCTTAATTCTTATATGAATTCTTCACTATTGTATTTCCTTTTCTTACTGGTTTATTGAAATCAATCTCTCCACCTTCACAACTTGGGGTAAAGTCGCATACACACCACTCTTTCCAAATCCCAGTAGTGGGTATACGGTTGTTGTTTATTCTATGCAAACAAATGTAAGTAGATTGTTCAAATTTAATTGAAAAAATGAAACATCTCAGGAATTCAAAAGGAAACAAAAAGGATTTCTTATTCTTTTTAAAGAATTAAGTATCAAAATATCCCGCCCCAAACATCAAACATCAGGACAATAAAGACACCAAATTGTTAATTCATCCTATTAATTAAAAAAACTCACGAACTTTATAATAGACCAATTGGCACAAATCATTAAAACTGCAATGACAAGTATGTCTCACCCATGTAATTCTCATTTGAATATCATCCATTGCATTCATACTACAAAATGATCAATTTCCAAAAATGAACACAAGTTACTGACCTAAAAATACCACAGCAAACATATATCCAGTACATTAAATAAGTATCATCATCATAGCATACCTTCAGGAAGAGTATGAAGCCTGGGTAAACCGGCTGGAATAGATTCCACATGTATCGGACCATTCCTCCTTTCTTCAACCTCACCTGAATTGGCCATCGTCACATCCGGAAATGAAGCAGAAGAACCGCGATAATATCCATTACTCCGGCTACGGTTCCGCCTCCTCACTGCATAGTTCCTCGAGTATCCGCCGCCGTCTTCCTCCGTTTCCACGCCATCAAGGTCCTTACCCTTTTCTATGGTTTTCGCTAACTCTAGTAACTGATTTAGGGTTTTCCGGTGCATATAGTAAGCGGATACCGCTACAATCGATGCTCCAACTAGTGCCGCCATCGCTAGATGAACAGTATGTGCATCCATTTTGTTTGCTCAGGTAAAAGTAACAACAGCTGATATCTAATGAAACTGAGAAACCCTACTCAATAGTAGAGCTAGAGAGAGACATGTATAAGAAAGACAAAATGTGTTATTTTGAAAGAGAAGAGTGAAGATAATACTGAAGCTAAAGCTGAATATTTATAAAGATAAAAGCAGTGCCGGTTCGAGCTAATTTCTGGGGCCAAGGCCAATCATAAAAAAAGCCCTAATTTTTAATTCTTATTTTTATTTTTTATATATATTATTCTATGAGCTTTCACCTTTTAAATAAATATTTCTTATAATTTTAAATTACATATATAAATTTAATCTTATGATTTTAATACATATCATATAAAAATTAAATTTAAAAATTGATAAAAAATTATTTTTTGATATCTCGAAATGAACTAAAAAAGATAAATAAATTAAAAGATATAGTATAAATTACTTTGTTAAAAAATTAAATAGTTAAATAAACATAGTATAATTTTAGTTAATTATCACTCGCGATTAATCTTTCGTAATAATTATTAGGCTACATTTTGAGTTTGTATATTTTGCACATTTGTATAATTCAAAATTTGTATATTTATATAATGTAATGTATAAAATAGAGTTTAAATATTTGTATTGATATAAATTATTTATTTTAAATTTATACAAAAATAACTTAATTATACAAAAATACATGCAAGCTATACAAATTCACCTGTAAATTATATAAACCTGCAAATTATACGAACACAGAAATTATAAAAAAAAAAACAGCTTAATATATATAGCTGTAATTGATAAATATATATAACTACAATTTATTAATGAGTTAAGTGGAGTGACATTTGGGGGGAGGGGGGTTACGGCATATTAGTGGGGACTGGAGTATTCCATTTTATTATGCGATGGTTTAAATTGTTTTTCATTGAACTACTGAAATGGGAATAAGAAGTATCGAAAATAAAGTTGAGGAGTTGAAATTTCACATTTTTTAAATGTTGATTAGGGAAAATTTTATGCAAAGAAATATTTCTTTTTAGTGTTTGTTGGAGAAGATGAAAAAATTATGCTTCGACAAAATATAAATTATATTTATTAGTTATAATATAATAGGAAAAGTAGATTGAATTTCTACAATATAAAAAAATGAGATTAAATAAATGTACTTAATATCTTCTATTTAGAAATGGATAATATTTCTTGATTAATCAAGAAACTTTAAAAGTTTCAACTAAAAAGGGTGGGGATTGGGGAACAATGAACGGACATGAGTAAACTTTTTGAGTTTTTAATTAAATCGAAATATTATTTTATGGCTATTCATATGATGATAACTAAAAGGTTTTTTTCAAAGAAAAAGTTTATGTTACTATGATTTCATACGTTAAGACTTTGATTAGAGAATATTTTTCTAAAAAAAAGATTTATTAAAAACGTGAGATTTTCTAAATATACTATGATTTTTGTTTATTTTGAATGACATAATAGGAATTTTTATAGCTATACAAATGTAGATTCTAAGTCCTATTTTAGAAAGCAATATATATTGTTATAATTATACAATATATCATTACATCATACTTTAAGAAAGAGAATATTTTGTGATTATCCTATAATTATAGCATTGCTAATATCTCTCATAAATTAATAACGTGATCATTCAATAGCAACTTGAAGATAAATTATTTACGAAAAAAATGTATTATCGAGTGATGAGACGATCGATAATAATTTTTAAATATTTATCCATCTTTATTATGTTTTTATTTTTTCATGTTGCATCAAATTTGTAGCAATTTTAGTTGCACTATCATTATCATCATGTAATATCGTACAAGAAGTAATAGCAATACCAAGCTCTACTAATAGACGTCGTAGCTAATTATTATTTTGAACGTGTTATTGACGTAGCCCAATATTTAACCTTTCTATATGATTTAGATTTAGACTAACTATATATAGAAACTAGGAAAAATGCACAAGTACCCCCTCAACCTATGTCCGAAATCCCAGAGACACATTTATACTATATTAAGGTCCTATTACCCCTGAACTTATTTTATAAGTAATTTTCTATCCCTTTTTAGCCTATGTGACACTAGTTTGAAAAAAAAAAGTCAACCATCGTTGGACCCACAAGATAGTGTCACGTAGGTCGAAAAGGAGTAAAAATTATTAATAAAATAAGTTCAGGAGATAATAGGACCTTCTAAGATTTCAGGTATAAGTTGAGAGGGTACTTAGGCATTATCCCTCGAAACTAATTAAACCTATGTAATTCTTTTATTCTTATCACACTTGTTGATGTTAAAATTAAAAATAAACACGTAGAAGATGCATGGTAACAATTAATGTTTAAATTAAGATTTTACCTAAAGTTATTTTTCCATAGCCGCCACCACTATTACTATCCCCATGACATTTGCCACCTCTGAAATTGTCAACGTCACCTCCACTTCCGTGTCTTAATGATGATGTTACGGTCATTAAGCTCCTGGTTATTTATCTCTAGAATTCATAAACCTATTAATAAATGTTATTTGATGAAAACTTTATCTTACAAGAACTCTTGTCATATATATAATTCTTGTTCTTTTCTAAAAAAAAAATCAATTCAAGACACTTTTCTTTTAAATATTAGAGAAACATTGATTAAAAAGTAAAATAACATATTTATAAATAGAAATTTATTGAATTATGGGAAAGGCTTAAATATGCTATCGAATTTTCAGATTAGGCTTATTTATGTCATCAGCTAAAAGTTTGATTTAATAGAACTTTTCTAAAAATTCGGTGGCATATTTGATCCTTTTCCCTTGAATTATACTTGTTTTGTGGCTTAATAGAACTTTGAAGATAAAGTTATTACTATTTTTCCGTATGGTTCATAAGAGAGACTCCAACTATTTCAAGATATGTTTTGATGCCTCTAACTCGAGCAAGTTCTATCATATGTATTCTATTAATTTGATGATATTTCAATTCGAGTATTGTTATCCTTATTTTAATAAAGATGGATGGAAAAATAAGTAAGAAAGAAGGCAACATTAACTAGCATAATGTACTGACTGAAAAGAAATCTACAAGATGAAAAGAAGCTTCAAAGAGAAAACTTAGAATGAAGTAATCGAGATCAAACTAGTAAAAAAATCACAAAAATTAATGATAAGATTAGTATAATAATGTATACGATAGGATAGAGCCCTTGTCCTTTTCAAAAATGTATCAGTATATTAAGGAAGTAAGTTAAAATCATTATTGTATATATATTAGAAGTTTGAATAGATTCACAAAAATTATGGCTTAATTGAATTCCTAAGATAAATTTGTTATTTTTCTTTAATTCTTTCATAAGAGAGGCTCAACTATTGTAAGAAACATCTTGACGTGCCTCTGAGTCGAATACATTTTATAATTTATACCCTAATAATGTTATATGATATTTCAATTTGAGTTGATGAAAAATATTGTTATCTTTGTTCTAACAAAGATAGAGGGAAAGATAAATTAGAGAGAAGGGGACACCAAGTAGCAAAATGAACGGGCGGAGTAGAAACCTCCGGGATGGAAAGAATCTTGAAAGAGAACTAGAAATAAAATAATGAGATCAAATTAATAAAAAGTCATGAAAATTTACGATAAAAACATAAGATTTTATGTGATATGATAGAGCCCTTAACCTCTTCATGAATGTAATAGTTCTGAATATTTAGGAACTATTTTAAAGTCTTTAGGAATCGTTTAGCAGGGAGTATTAGGAGAAATAATTCATGCATTATGTATGATATTGTTTAGTATTATGTTTGGTAAATTTTAAGAGTATTAGGAGAAATAATCTTGAAATCTTTTATTTTTATTTATATCACAATAGAAAATAGTTATGATAAAATAAGAAATACTTTTATTTTTTTCTAATTGAAGTATGATAAACATTTACTAATGTATCAAAAAAATTATTAAAAAAAGAATGTGTTAAAAGATAATAAACAATATATTTATATTGAAAATGGGCATTTTTACCTATTAATAACAATAAGAATATTTTTTAATCAAAGTATTGATGGCAAGATATTTTTGGACCAAATCATAAATGAAAGATATTTTTATTCATTTCACGTAATTTTATAGCCCACCAACTTATTTATTTTATCTTTATATTTTTACTAATTCCTACGTCACTAATTTATTTAAATTTATCAAACCAAAATTTAACATATATAATGTAACTTTTTATTCAAAGAGTGTTATTATCCAAATTTTAGTTAAATATTATCCAAACCACTCACTTTTTGAGAGGACATTGCTGAGAACATATTTTCTTTAAAAAATTAAAATGATTCCCCTTTCACAAATTTTTCTTAACTTTGATTATATCCCATCACAATTAATTAATTAATTAACCAATAAGGCCGCAATTTAGTAATCATAATTATTTTTTTAACTTTTTAACGAAGATCTTGAATTTGGTTTTACGTATGCAGTTACTTTTATTTGGATGATTTTTATTTTCTGACTATGAGACTCCCAGTTTTCAATATGAATTTAAATGTAATCGCATTGAATATGAATATTGCACACAATTTTTAAAAATAGAAAACTACAAAAAATAATTAATTAAAATAATAATATATTTCCTTTCAGTAATCGTTTGTTATCCAGATCCAGAATGATTTTATTTATTTTAAATATTGTATGTTGTCTTTTTCAGAAAAAATAAATACATTTTGTTTTTTGACATGGAACCACGTGAATTGTTTAGCCACGCATAACGTTAAAATCAATGAATCATTTCAGATCAATTGTTCACTACGAAATGTTGGCGTTTAACAAAGTGATGATGAATGATGATGTTGATTTAAAAAGAAAAAGTTTTCTTTAAAATGCGGAAAATAATTCTTTTAAATGATTAAATTGAATATTTTGGAAAATTATTTTCTTAGTAAATACTCCCTTCGTTTTAAAAAAAAATAGTTTATTTTGATTTGAAACAAAGTTTAAGAAATAAAAGAAGATTTTTTGATCTTGAGGTTCTAAATTAAAGTTTGGATAAATGTATCAAAATGTCCTTTAATCTTGTAGCATTAAATATATCATGTGAAAATTTAAAGTTCAAATTTTATCGAAAAAAATCATCCT